CTCTATACCACCCCTGCACCGGTCCAATGCCGCCTATACCACCCCTGCACCGCCCTATAGCCCCCACCAATTGGCTGGTCGGCACCTACCAGACAGGGTTCGTCGGCTCCAAAACCCCTTATAACCCCACGTTGGACCCCCATACCCACCCCCGATACCCCCATACTCCCCCCCCAACACCCACAAACCACCCCAGAACACCCTCATATCCTCCGCTCCACCCCCCATACCCCGCCCATCAACAAACGTTTCTCATCAGATTTGGGCTTTACCCGCCCCCAATACCCCCATACACCCCACAAACACCCACAAACTGCCCCGCAACACCCTTATACCCTCTCCAATAACCCCTATATCACCCCTACACCCACCTATGCCCCCCCCCATCCAGTTTTTCAGCGGATTTGGGCTGTACTCGGCAAGCCGATTACAGCCCCGATTACAGCCCCCCAACTCAGATCTGAAAAAAAATCAGTGAATGGCTGTTTTCTGACTGGTAGGCAGACCTCCAACCTGTCCGCCCTACTGGTCAGCTGCAAAACGGTCGGCCGTAGGGGTCCGCAGTCGGCAGGTATGCAACCCTGAAAAGGAGTACAAACCAAGCATGCGTCCAAACAAGTCATGTTTGTACCCATCTTCCCCAACACTGAAAGGAGTGCGAATGATGTGTCCAAACGAGTCCTGCACAGCTGCGAAAGCATATGATTCACAACTTCCAGGAGAGAGAGAGAGCTAGAATCAATCATAATTTCAACGTGCTTCGACGAATGAAGAGAGGCACTCTTTGAGATTTCCTGCAATGCCCACTATCAAATCAAGGCAAAAGACACCTTGGGACCTCTGATAGATAGAATCACTTCCAGTAAGTACTTTTTAATGGTGGCGTTGGCAGCGTCATGTATAACCATGAGCATGTGAAACAGCAAATTCACAGTTGGAACCAACTACATACCTCCTCACAAAGCAGAGACTGCACTGATCACCATATGTAAATTCTACACGATGACATCAAGATCAGGGCACAACAACACCCCACCCCACCCCACCCCCCCCTTTCTCTCAATGGCCTCTCCTGCCGACATCTGCCCAGAATATATAAGTTGCACTTGCAAATGCCGTGGCAAGCGCACTCAACAGAACTTGCTCTCATAATGACGGCGATGCATTCATATTCCATGACATTGATGTGATTGCAAAGACGCAACCAGAATCAGGTGCACCCAACTTGTTTGTACAGCCAAGCTTATACTTACTGACATGGCCACACAGCAAATACTTGCAGCCACATCTCCATACAGTACAACACGCACACCTGCAAACACTCACAGACATCCACCTCAAATGTGGTGTTTTACATCGCTAAAAAGAGACCTAATTTTGGGATATCAATCAACCCAGGCTAAAACAAGAGGGTAGTTCCACAAGTTCCAAAACCCTTTCTCTAGCATATCCCCATTCGTCTCCCTGCCTGAGCGACTCTACCAACAGCAACTCCACCACTCCACACAACTCAGCAATCGACTCACAGAGGAGAACAATGTATGAAACGCCAGATAGTCATTGGCCTCAGCAACACCAACTGACTGTCATGCGCAGAGCTGCGCCCTCGACATCAGCAACCCCCTGGCTTGTGCAGTAGACTTTCTTTTCTTCACCCTTGTTCAGCAGCTTGCAGATACCCGGGTCAAGATGATTCACTGTTGCACCCATTTGGTTGTTCAGCCAATAGCTCCGCACATCACTTTCTTTTGCTCCATCCATGCGTCATGAAGTCACCTCTCGCCGTCGACAGAATTTTTCCGTTTATACCGTCCCCACAGCTTTTTGCTGTCAAGTTTCTCCTTCCTTAAGGGACTCAAAGAGACTTCTCTCGTATACAATCGGCTAACCAAAAACAGACTCCGTGAGCGACATCGGCTGCCCACCCACCTGGTTACTCTTATGCTCCGTAGGTCTGGCCGCAATGACGACTGGAGAAAGGTAGAAGAGTATCCACTTCATTTCTTCCTCGTTTTACCCAGGTGGTAATACCACCTGGTCCCAGCCAGTTTCTCACGCTTGTCGACTTCCTCCGCAGCGCACTGGCCTCTTGTACCAGCACAACTAGTCAAAGAGAAAGAGACCACCCCGTTTCCCCTCTCTATACCCCTATTCCAACGGCAACAACTCCACTCCCCCTTCTCCCTCTCCGTGAGTTTACCAAAACTCTTGATGCGAGGTAGGGAGAGGTTGCGCATAGACAGACACACATTTCTTCCACTCAAAATTGCTTTCGCGTTTTTAACGAAACAAACACTCCGATGGGCATGGTAGGCAGCCATGATTGCCACAGCTGTAGATTCTAGGCAGCAGGCCTCTTCGCATCATCATCCCCATGTCGAAAAGTAACAGTGCTCCCTCTGAGACTTTGCCTGCTGAAGGATTTTGCTTGCACAGGGGTGTTTCCCGTACACACAAGAATTCCGGACAAGCTCCCAGCAGCACAGTAGACGACCCCCAGAAGACTACCTACCGTCTAGGGAACTCGTGAGCTATGCTCTGTCCACAGCCAGAGACTCTTCTTACATGCAAAATACAGCTCATTCAGCCTCGTCCTCGTCTTCATCTTCTTCATCTTCGTCCTCCTCAAAGACTCCGTTTCCGTCCCCTTCTTGGCCCTGAAAGAGCACAACACACAAGTAGTCAACATCATCAGATCGCCGGAAAACAAAAGCCAGTCATAGTCAGAAGGGCAAAGTAGCAATAACAAAACCCCTCTGAACACGACACCGCCAACTCCATCCCTTCTGCAGAGCTCACACATTCTTTTGTTCAGACAACAGGATGCAGCCCCCAACATCAGCAACTGTGTAACACAGACCACGAGTTATCTCAATCGGATCACTTGTAGCAATTAATACCCAACAAAAGCTGCCTAGAAATAGGCACTCGAACAGCTCCCCATGCTCTTCCTGTCATCCTGCTGAGTCTTGAATCTTGATGCTTGCTGGTGACAAGCAACCCGACTGCTGGCACCCAGAAGAGACGGGGTGTGCATTTGTATGGTCATATTAGCAATACACCACGCCAGACTGTTTCATCGGACTTTCACCGACTCCCTGTCTGTGTGTGTATAAAGAACAAAAAAAAAGCAGCAGCACACATGTTCAGAATCACACGCTTTGACAAAACGAACAGGGCACCGCTGTGACGCTGTCCATGCATATATATCAGTTTTGGCAATCAGTCAAAATATAGTCGGATCACGCAGGCAGGCACTCCTTTCCAAATTGCCTAATCCCCAGTGCATAAGCTACCAGAAATAAAATATTGCCACACGAGAAGCCTCTGCCACCGCTCACGGCGAGCGCACAAGTTATAACAAAGGATCATACAGACGGACACTCCTGTCCACAATTGACTACCCCCAGTGGATATACTACCACAGAGAAAATATATTTACCACACGACTAGCCCCTGCCACACATGATCAACACGCAACTTGTACCAAAGGGCTCCATGATTTCACGCAAGCACCACACTTCGAAAATGACCACACAAACAAAACCAAAACATTCTCAGCATACATGTCATCATGTGGGTGGATAAAAGAGCACTGTTGAAGGCCCCTGAAGGGAAGCATCATCTGCCGTGTCAGAGTTTATAAAGAAAAAAACAACGTTGGCGCCAACATAGATCTCACAGTGAGCTGTCATTGGCAGTGTGTCACTCTAAAAGACTAATCGGCAGAATCGTAAGACATGGTTGAGGGAATTTTGCTTGGATCCTTGGGGCACTTTCAACATTGAGTCCAATCCAGAGTACTAACTTTCAACATTGCGTTCAATCCAGGGCACAAATTTGACAACATGAAGAGCTGTGCATTATGCTCGATGAAGCCTACCTCCTCTTCACTGTCTCCTTCTTCTTCATCCTCGTCATCCCCCTCTTCGCAATCGCCAGCATCATCCTCACTATTCTGCAAGACCAGCATATTCAAATACGTGAGCACATAATTTGTGTATTTTGACAGGGTAGTTATGAAAAGAGATCACTGTGACAAGTTTCATTAGAGCATAACCCCAGCACTGGGCAGAAGCCCAGCTCGCTCGGACGATAAGCAGCAATGCAAAAAAAAAAACACAGCAACACAGCCAACTGCCTGACAACCAAAGCAGAAGAGGGATGAAAAGTGGCATTGATCAGATCTCAAACATGTGGGTCCCATTCAAAGAGATCGTACATATGGGAATTAATAATTATAGTAAAATATATTACCCACACCTAACTGCTGTCGTTTTTCCCATTGCGTCACCGTCAGTGTCTTCACAACTGTCTACAACATTTCCCATTCTGTTGTCATGGACATGATTACCCATGTCTGATGTGAGCTATTGAACGCTTGAATAACCTCTTTTTTTTCTTTTTTTTCTTCAAACATCTGTGAGGGACCTATTCGTGGAGGTGATAAGAGCACCCCCCACAAATAGACCCCCAATAGAAACAACATGGTCTACAATGAAGAGCATTAGGCAGACTCAATTTTACATTGTGCTCCTATCCTCCATCCCAGACCATTAAAAGCAAGGACACCTCACCTGATTGAAGTACTTCAATGGGTAGGGCCACAATTCATCCTTAATCGACTCCGCAATCTGCAACAAACGCAGATACAAAAATGAAATTCTCCTCTGTCAATAGTCTTCACATAATGACGGTCCGATTCCTACAAACAAAATCCCACATCACTCGTAGCCAACTTCGGCTGCTCAACCAGCCAAACATAACACATTGCCTTCCTGTCTTCCTTTCCCTCAACTTCTCAAAAATATAGAAGGGCTTGCGCCAGGGACACCACTTTGCTCTGCCCTCCTATTCGTATCGCACTCAGTCCACAACCAGTATACACGCTCTCTACTTCCCATCTTAAACCACCACTGCATACAGACATATTTCGACAAACAAAAAGACGCACTTCCCCGAGCATAAAATCTACAGCACCGTCGTGAGAATTCATTTTGGTACACCGAACCTCTACCACGGCTGGGCACTGCAGAGTTTGGACCAGTAGTTGTAGACAAGAAAAAATGGAACAGTGCAGGGGCCGTTGGAGTGGTGGTTCAAACCAACACCACCTCCTAGTCCAGGCAATGAGCTCTGATGCCTTGCAAACATATGGGGGGTTTGCTCTTCGGAGAGGGGTGACTCAGGGGAGTCTTCTTGCCGCAGGTGAAAGGATCCTAAAACGTAGACCTCTGAGGACCAGGCCACTGTGGCGACAGATTAAGAACCCTGACGAGTTCCGTCACCGGCAGCCAGACGAAAAGCAGCGTAGGGTTACTGCGCCACTCTTTTGGTCCACTTTTGACTCTTCTTTTTGGTGACCTTCTGTGTTTTATCCAAACGCCAATTAGCCACGTTTGCAAACTTTTTGTCGCCTCTCTCTCTCTCTCTCTCTGTCTGTCATGTTGTGAGGTATTTAGTCATGCTGCTTGCTAACTCTAGCTTCACTAAGGTCTCTCTCTCTCTCTCTCTCTCTCTCTCTCTCTCTCTCTCTCTCTCTCTCTCTCTCTCTCTCTCTCTCTCTCTCTCCGTCCCTTGATTGTCATCTATCATGCTAGGAGCTAATTGGTAATACTTCTTGTTAAACCACTAGTACCTTTGGCGTCCGGTTTCGAAAAGTTCTTGCCAGCTCCCGAACTTTTAGGAGGCTGGGCCCGACAACGGCTGCCATTGATGAATCTGATCGGCGGCCGTCATTTTGTTTCGGCCTCCTGAAAGATCGGAGGCCCGCTATTTTCCAGCCGACAAAGGTACTAGTGGTTCAACTCTTGATTCAACACGCGACTCACAAAAGTCATATCTCGTCCAGATGGGTAGTCTCCCTCACCTCATCATCCAAGTCCTCGTCATCCTCGCGATGGTCATCCAGGAACCACTGGAAGAAACTGTTCACAGAGACGTTCCGAGGGGGAAAAAAGAAAATCAGTGAAAGGGAGAAAACAAAAGTGTCAGAAGGCCAAAGCTGCAGACATCTGATGTCCACATACCGAACAAGCATGAAACCACCTCATAACGGAAGCCTCTTCAGACGACCAGAAAGGGAAAAGCTGCAAGCACCCGATCCCCAAAAGACCCAAAAGGCCCCAGAAATCATTCCTACCATGCAAGAAAGGGAACTCGTATCGAATGGGGATTACCTTGTGGGCACATGTTTCCTCTTTGCCCCTGCCTGTGCAGATGCTCCATTTGCAGTGAGATCCTGGCACCAGACACCGTCAATTACACCATAAAGAATCATCAAACAGCACCCCCTGATAATCAGAGGCTGCAATATTTACATAGCAAACCCCCAGAATAGAAACTTAGTTACAGGGAAATCATCGGGCAATGCACAGAGAAGTATG